AACCATTTGGTCGATTTGCAGCATCATCACAAAGGTATGTTAGCTGCTATATTCATGAGGTGGTAGATACAAGTGCATCTACATTTTCGCGAACGTGTATATTCGATTCCCTCAGAACCCGCAAGAAAAAACCCTTTTACCAGAAAGGTTATCTACAAAATTTTGCATTCCAGGAATAGCTGGTTGTGTTGACGATAGTCAAATCAAAATTGTTACACCAACGCAATTTCAACTTGGTCGGTCACCCTGCTGTCCTCTTCATGAACAGAAAGAATTTTTTACAGCATCAATTGTCAGCTAATTTTTGAGGTAAATTTGAAGATCCTTGCCATAAATGCACCTTATTCAAGTAGTGTGGAACAAAGTTGAAGTCGTTATTAAGATTTAAACACGTTCTGTCGTCCGATAGGATACCGTGTTTAAGACTTTTTAAACGTTTCTTTGCTATTAAGGCGTCTTCAAACATTTTTGAAATGTTATTCAGGTTTATATAATAGAAGTATCTTTTTCGTAAAACGTCAAAAAATTTATGTATTTTAAACGTTTATTATGTTGGTCGTTTTTTAAACCATCTTTAAAAGCCTATGGAAAACGTTTTGTTTAGACCATACTAGCGCAGGTAGCAGTACCAAAAATAGTTCATAGAGCCAAGGAGCTCGCAGCTCGTTAGACGCCAGTGGACGTTCTAAAAGGCTTTTGAAAAAAAACATCCTTTTTCAGAAGGTACGTGCAATGCGTTTCTAAAACGTCCGTTTTCAACATTATTTGTGCCAACTAGAAAGTCCATTGATGGAAGTTCTCAGTTACTTTTCTAAAAACGTTCTGACGTTCGATCGGATCGGATACGTCTCACAGACGTTTTTAAACGTTTTTGTGCTATATTAGGGCATCTTCAAGGGTGTATCTTCTTTTACATAGGAATTACTTTTATTTTTTTTACTGTTAAAGAGCTTTATTAATTATTAATCCCAAGAAGAAATTAAATAATTATTCTTATTTTTGGAATTAGCTTAATCTAAAAATTAGCCCTTATACAGGGTGTTCCGAAACTATTGTGCCAAAAATTGAGGAATGATAGATCGCGCCAAAATAAACGTTTTTTACTTATAAATACATAGGCGCATGCGCTTTGGTTATGTGATAATAGAACATTACAGGTCACGCTGTGGTAGCCACCTTACACACGGAAAAACGTGTTTGGAGCAGAAACTGGGTTATTAAATGATGCAAAACCCAAGGAATGCTTGCAGTATTTACTAAAAACAATGATCCACAGCAAAAGATGCTACGACCACCCGCCTCCATACGTGCGTGACAGCGCCCTAGCATAGCCTCCTGAACACGTTCAAAAATTCATGGGGTTTCGAGAATTTCAGCAGCTGCTGCAACAATCCTTCCTACTAACTTCCTCTAGCTGTTTTAACTGAAGTGTCGTAAACAGGAGCTTTCATATGACCCCATAAAAAAAGTCGCATTCCGTCAGGTCTGGTGAACGTGGAGTCCATGCCCCCTTAACAATCACTCTTTCCAGATGTTTCGTTGAGATATTCCCCTAAGGCTTACAAGTAATGTGCTGGTGGTCTGTGGTGTTGGTACCCTATGTTTTGTCTGGCATGCAAACAGTTTCGGGAAGGGCTTCCTGCAGAAATTTACTCGATATTTCTGCTAAAACGCTGTTACACATGCATTGAGGCGGGTGGTCGTATTTTTGAGCATCTTTTGATGTGAATCATTATTTTAAATAAATACTGCAAGCATTCTTTGGGTTCTGTATTATTTAATAACACCGCTTATTCAAACACGTTTCTCCGTGTGCAAGGTGGCTAGCACAGTGCTGACGATAATGCGCTATTATCACCTAACCAAAGCGCATGCGCATATGGGTTTATAAGTAAAAAACGTTTATTTTGGCGAGATCTATCATTTCTCAATTTTTGGCACAATAGTTTCGGAACACCCTGTATATTGAACAAATGTTATGATGAAATTTCGTTTTTCTATATCTCGATTTATTTCAGTTGGTTCTTTTATTGAAAAAACTTATAACAGTGATAACGGCATGGTACAATACAGATTTTCATGTTCCAGAGTTATGTTATAAAGAATAGAGTCTTCCTCTTTTCTTCCATTTCTAGATGCGTATATTCGACGTTGCCAAATTTCAATTCGAGTCCTCCCGGCGACCTGATTTGTTATCAGAGTCGTCCATCATTAAAATTTTTGTGGTTTTGCTTATGGCTATTGATTGGTAGGTCTTCAAGGATGGAAATCTTCAGAACTTCATCATTGCTAGTTGAGATCGATAGACAGGGCTTATGAGCTGGAGATACATATAATACATACTCTTATTGATGTTTCAGGATGATGTCTTCAACTGTATAGGTATTTTACTGGCAACACAGCCTTAAATGTCTTGATGTCCTTTATTATCATAAATCCTCCTTCCTATGTTTCGTTTGCCGAGTCGTTATAATGCCGGTTTTCCACCAAACAGAAAAACAAAACCCAAACTCAAACTTTTCCCAAACATTTTCAAGACAGTTGAAGTTTTGTTTCCCCGAGAAAATAAAACGTAGTCCGCTTGATGGAAACAAGAATTTTGTGTTTATTTCAGTTTTGTTTTTGTTTAAAAACATGTTTTAAAACACAAACTCAACAGTTCGTTTAGTGGAAAACCGGCATAAGATATTGGGTTCCCTCAAAGTTCGTTTCAGTGTGCAACTTTTCTTCGTTGAATTAGGCATTCCAACAACTTGTCAAAAAGTGCGTTGTAGCAGAAGTTCATTATCCCGCATATCAGAGTATGCAATTTAAAGCTTTTTAAAGTGCATTTTGTGGTTGTTTTGTGAATGAACTCTGTTTATTTTTTTATTTTATTGACTTTATTAGTGTTTCTCCCAATTAAAAATGCCACAAACGGGTCTTGAAGTTGATTGTGGAAGTAGTTTCAACAAGGTAACAAGGATGATTTCAGGCTTTTTTCATTGCCCTTTGTTTTAAAATTTTCCAATTAAAACGTGAAAATTTTTCACTACCACTGTTCCTGCATCTGAAATAAAGCCATTTTCGAAATATTCGTAAGAATCTAAGCTTTTGTAGGCCTTCATTTGCTCATTAATGTGAACTGTGGATCAAAATGTCATCTGGACATTTTTTTTTTAAACTAACCGTTCGCCCAGATCCCGATTTTCCTGCATTCAAGTCTTTAAATATTCACTCTGCATCTCAAAAAGTTTATTATAACAAAGTAAACTGTAATTAGCTTGAAAATATTCCAAATAAACTCAAGATAAACAAGCAAACGTCAAATTTTCCACGGTCGCCATATTGAAAAATCACGTGGTTCGGAGAGCCTAATTTGTTTCACTCATTTTTTTAAAAATGGGTAACAAATAATGAAGAGTGTTACCTCTTGGACTCTCTTTCATGCTGCTGCAGTGAAACTTTGGCCACTTATCGTGCTCTTATCTGACATATAAAAATCAATGTTTTTTTGTTCGTTGTTAATGAACTCGGAAAACCGATCGATGAACGGATCTCCTTGAAATTCATACCACGAAGTCTCTATATAAAGGGAAGTGTTATAGGCTATTTTTCATCCTGGAAAAATGCAAAATTCCTGTGGGATAGAGCTAATAAAGCTTGGGTTAGTTTAAAACAACTGTTTTCAAGGAATTAAGCGAAGCAACGCACGTAGTGACTCATAAAAAAAAGTGTAAATACCAAAAGTTTAAGCAATTTTGTTTCCTTCAAACTTTGGTTCAATTTTAAACAATCAACCCTTGAATCTTGAAGTTATTTTCAACTTTACTTATTTCACTTTTCGGATAGGTAGGTATCTGGGAAACATGATTTTTGCCGGTCACCAATGGACAGGGTTGCCAGACGTCCCACCTTGGGAGGGACAGTCCCGCATTTTGTTAATCGGTCCCGCCTTTTTTTTATTAATTTCAGGTCCCGCTTTTCACGAGAATTGTCCCGGTTTTCCCGCTTTTTCCAGTCAATCTTCACATTTAATGCAAAAACACGCTCATTTTGCATCTTGTTACATAAATAGCTATTTCTTCATTAAAAATCGACGCAAAAATCAACCAACGAGCCTGAATCGCAAGCATTTCATCGAGGTCTGCGCGTGACGTCACCACTATTAGCTGCTGATTTGGTAACGTCACTCACAGACCTTGTGGACTCGAGAACCGACGAACGTACGCCTTCTCATGATCAGCAATCCTGTTAGTTTACGATTCTTGGGTTGGTTGGGTACTTGCCCCTCCCCCCCTTATGATTTTGGGCGAGCTTTCCCTCTGGATAACATCAGTCCCGCTTTTTCATTTCATAGATCTGGCAACCCTGCCAATGGATTTCAAACCAAATGGTTTCTCCTACAAAAAGTGTCTGGAGTGGACTCTGTGGAGTCTGGAGCCAAGCAGCCAAACTCGCATAAAATCAGTTTATCGATAAAATTATCATCCATAAACTGATAAACTGCCTTCACCTTTTATTGGCATTGGAATTTCCAATAGGGATTCCCATTTCCTTTAAACGACCTTGTTTTCTAAAATCTATGGAAATGTGAGCAGAAATGAGTCACCGGAGTAATTCAATGAGTTGCTGACTTATAGCAAAAGCCGGCAACGTTGGATTTTCATGTCAAAAAGCATAACATAACTGTAAACAAAAACTTTAACCTAAAATAAAAACCTGAGAAGAGATGTCAACAAGAAAAATTTTCATGATTTCAAATAAAGTCAACTTGAAATGTACCAAATTTGTATGTGAAATTAACGCGGTGCTATTTTTATATACTGTATTCAATAGTTTAAGAAGGTAAAAATTTTTCTCTACTCCTACATTAAAATTACCTACTGTGGCCTGGTTTTGGCACACATTTTTCAGGTTTGAGGTCTTTTTTCATACAAGAAAATTTACAAACACCAACATTTTAATTTGCCAAAAGCCGCTAAACCGAGACACTAACATATAATTCCTTTTTTTTTCAGTAACAAAGATGCTCCAATGTGCGAGACAATACAGTAGAAGAAATGGCACCAGCACCAATTTTCTTACCTTTGGTGAATTCTGCGTTTTCGTCCGAGAAATGCAGAATCACCCCAGTCCGAAAGCACACAGGAAAACATCACAACCCAAAATAAACAACAACAGTAAGTATTTTTGCTACAAATTTCTTTATTTATTTATTTATTCATTCAAAGTAAGTAGATATCAACAGCAAAATCAATTATTGCAGAATCTGACTTAATAATAATAATAATAATACAAAAATACAGGTAACATCAAGGGTAAGGGTAACATACATTAAAACCCTGCAAACAATCTTAACAAAGTGAACCAATGGAAACAATTTTAGCATAATTACAATTTTATTATTACAGCCTCACTGGGGGATACACTTCAAAATTTCTGTTGTACACACAAAGATTTCGCTGCACACTTTTTAGAATTTCACCCCAATTATGGGTAGAACGAGACTGTCAAAGAGAGATGAACTAAATATCAATGTTGAAACATTTTATGTTTCTTGTAAAGAAATCCGATACTTTCTGAACACTGGAAGTTTTTGAAAAAATATACCTACCTGGAGAAAGACAAAATAGAATCAAAAATATCTCCCAAATCTTTTTGCTCAGCAGACACTCTTTTAGGTTTTTCGTTTTTCATTACCTATTATAGTCATAGAGAAATCATAAACAACAGTATTTTTATTAAGTGTGAATGGCATACCTACATACACATTTATCTAAGTTCAAATCAAAACTACTTTCAGAACCAAGTTCAGAACACAATGCAACAACATCAGACAGTTCACTATGGAGCACTGCACAGTCCGTAATTTAGGAAACTTCATAAATCAACTTGAAATCATCAGCAAAACCAAGCGATTCAACATTACCTTGTTAAATGCAACCAAAAATAAAAGTGGACCCAGGTTTGACCCCTGTGGAATACCTGACGTGCTGGTAAAAACTAAAACATAAGAGCCCTTAATGTCAACATACTGATATCGTTTACTTCTGTCAGTACCTAAATATGATTAAATTAATTATAAGTTGCGGTAAATCCATGTCTCCCAAGCTACTCAAAATCACAAGCCCAACTTTATTAAAAGCCTTTTCTAGATTTGTGTACACATAATCCTGTGATTTTTTATTTAATGTTTCATGAATGAACTGTCCGAAGGTAGGGAGATTCGTAAATGTAGACCTCTTTGGTAAATAAACACGAGTAAAAACATGTTGATTTGAGGCTATTTTATTACTGCACAGACAATGGTTATCGGCCTATGGTTCTTTAAGTCTCGTTTCTATCCACCCGTATGAACAGGAACCTTGCTGCATTTCCACCTATCTTGGAACAGTGACGTGCTAAGAATTAAATTAAACAGCATCTGTAGGAGATAAATAAGTGATTCACAGCAATCTTTTTATATATACCGTGTGGTCCATTCAACTTGAGACAGTCTAGTATCTCAGAAACGACGCATTCGAAAAAAAAAAGTTAAAATGAATGTTATGTGATATCAGATATGGTAGCACTAATTTTGGACTATGATGACCTTTATTTGAACTTTTTTTTTTCGGAAACTTTCCGTTTTCGAGATATTAGATTGTCTCTAGTTAAATAAACCACACTGTATATACACCCTGATTTATGTAGCCCATGCATTAGAAGTTTCCCAGTTCCATGTGGATTAGTATTATTATTATGTTATCTACCTGCAAGATAATGCATGTTGCTGGGTTACAAAAATCACCCTGTATATGATAGGACTCCATCAGGGCCCATTGACTTCTTTCCCTTCAAACTTTCAACTGCTATTTTTATATCACTAAACGAAATAACTTTAGGTATTACAAAAAAAGGATCTTAACTGGCTGCCAGAATATAATTCGGGCACAAATTTGTGCTATTTATGTATATAGACTGACTAAGTAGTCAGCAAAATCATCAGCAACTTTTTGAGTACAATGATAAATAACATCGCCCAAAGTCATCTCATCTGGACATCTGGATTATCTTGTAAACTTTTCAACAGAAACCCTGAAGTTTTTGAGATTAGATTTAAGACACTAAGATGCAATACCTATGTGCTTTTTTGTTTTAAGTAAACTTCTTGAGTTACTGAACCTTATTTTACATTATTGCAATTTAAATTTGGTTAGCTTCATAAAGTATCTGTTCTTTTGCTTTTTCGTGTGAGATTATATCCTTAGTAAACTGAACCGGATACTTCTTATTTTTCTGTGTAGATTTAGGAACTGACTTTTCAAAGGTATTTTATAAAATATTGTTGAAGCTATCTAAGGCCAAGTTAACATCCGAGAAATGGTCTAGTAGTTGCGAATCTTGAGACTGGAAAAGATTTTACATCAAGAGGAAATTTTCTTTTTTGAAGTTAAGCTTAGTTGTAGGCAAGGAGCTTGCCAGCTTACGTTCACTAATAGTTAAAAATGTATTTATTTTTTTATATGTTCCTCTTTCTTAGGGGTCTCTGCTCGGGTGTCTGATTATTATTTCACTACCTTGTATATCTTATTTCTGTGAATCAAAAGTTATAATCTTTTAATATTTACTCAGCCTTATAGCAAAGACAAAATCCATTGAGCTACGCTTTGGGTTAAAAAATTACACTAGTATTCTATACTCATAGAGAACTGCTTGTATTTGATTATTTTGCAACCATTTCATCTTCTATAACAGAAAAAGACACATTATTATGCAGGTAAAGATAAAGGCATGTTATTACAACATATATTAATTTCTACTCTACATACAGGTCACCTCATCTCAGTTTATAAAATTTGCTGACGTTATACTGTTGACGCAGGATGTTTTTTCAACATAAGTGACCTAGGTTTTAAATTAGAGTGTGGTTTATGATTGTGGAAATTTTTATACTTACAAATCTTTTTCTAATAATTTTTCCAGAGTGTCCAAACAACAAGTGCGAAGTCTTCCTCGGCGGTTCCTGCAATCCAACAACATGGAGAGCGGATACAGCCATACCGGAACTGCAAAAATATGGCATCAGTTTTTACAACCCCGTAAGTAACTAAATATAAACAATTTGTGTATTTTCCAAAATATGTCCATGAGTACCAATTTTCATCTTTATTTTATGTCACTATGTACCATAGAAATTAAATAAAAGTGCTCCAATAACAATTCCACTTTCTTTTCTTTACAGCAAGTTTCAATGTGGGCCCCAGAACTTTTAGCTCAGGAACACGACGCCAAGCAGTCAGCTTCGGTATTACTTTTCGTCATCGACAGTCAAACCAGGAGCACCGTAGGAATGGTGGAAGTCGCTTATCTGGTAGCTTGCGGTAGATGTGTGATAGTTGTAGCCCAACCCTATAGGATAGGACAAACGATTATGGGGGAAGTTATTACAGATGGGTAAGAATCTTTTAATCAAGGTATTTGCTTGTTTACGTATTGCCTGATAACAATACATATACATACCTACATGCAAATTGGTGTTGAAGAAAGAAGTCACATGGAAGTTATGGAATATTAAAAATCTATAAACAAGTTAAAGCTGATACGTTGATGGAAACCTTATCTGATTCAGATTTTCTACAAAAGAGGAGGCCATAAGATGTTAAGGTTTTGAAAAGAAAATAGTGGAAAGAAGTAAAATTTTCGCAAAAAAACAATCAAATTCGATCATAAGGAATGGGAACAAAACAGAAATTGGAAGATCGTCCAAGGAAAGGAAAAATAAAACTAGACATCAAATAGATATCTATCAACTGGGAGTACCAAAAGTCGTTAGAGGAAGAGCAAAAGCACACCAACTTCCACTAATAGTCAAAATCATTGATGAGGTGTTAAATGGAAAAAACCGACATGGCAGAAAGATTGAATTTTCAATCTAGTTACCTACAACCGAGGCTACAATCTGAGGGCTTAAGGAAAACGCCACTGATAGACCCTTAGGATTAGAAAAAAAGCAAAAGTGATGGCATAGTGATACTGGTTGAATGATATATACCCGAATAAACTTTCCTTTCTAAGCGAAATACCAAACAACAGCCAGAGCTGTCGAATCTTTGTGGATGAAGAAAAACATTCAGATCGTTTCAAGTTCGCATAGGACCAAACCATTGGGTAACTTCAATTACAAGGGGATACATTGTATTTCGAGTATCATTTCCTTAGCTTACGAATTTTTTCCAGAACTGAAAAATTTGTTATGCCAATCAATTCATAACATTTCTGTACAGTAATAAGAGGATATCAAGCTTCGTTACTTAATAAGGCATTTCTGAAGGGAAAGTACCTGCTGGGATATCGCGTTCATATTATCAATCACAGCTCAATCTTAATAATAAGGAAAACCCATAAAACACAAGAGGGGAAATTTTGGAAAACAAAAATGTATCTTTTTCTTCTCAAATTCTTGAAATCAAGAATGTTTTTTTTTTTCAGAGAATACTGTGATTTGGTACAAGGACAAAAATCCTTACTAGATCTAATCAAATCCAAGGGAGTACAAATTCACACAAACCTATCTACAGCATTACATTGTACAGCGGAAATTTTGAGAGATGTATCAATCAATGGCACTACACCTGAAGAACAAGTAGCTTACAAACTTAGGTAAGAATTTCTTTTATAATTATTCTCATCCAACTATTATAGCAAATACTAACATTATGCTAGACTAATCTGCCATCCTCCTAAAACCGATAGTTTTTTCCATAGACGACTCCGAGAAGTCTACGACAGTTACAAGGGTCACATGCGTATTTACGACGTAATTGACGCTTACCGCCGTCTCACCAATCGTTCGTTGGAAATTTCTAAGTTGTACAATTATTTCAATTTACAAAACGTCAACGGCTCATCTAATGGTGTGGTCGGTAATGGTACAACAGAAGAAACACCGTTGAGTTTTGAGAAATTCTGCACTGTAATGGCTGAGCTTAGTTCTGATGACGGATGCGGCATGTGTAATATCGAAGGTGAGTGTCGGCTTTAAACGAAAAATGCTTTGATTATTTGTGTTTCTAGGAAGAGATTACATTAGACCGTTGTACTGGTCTTGCGCACTTTTGAAGACAAGGTATTTGGTTAGGAATATGGTATTGCAACCTATTAACTGCATATTAGGTACCTAAAAATATTGCCTTGCATATTTTATATTTTTACTCTCACTCTTTTTTTTCTAGAAATATAGTTTATTGTATTTTATTTTCAATTTAGCTTTTATGTATTTTTTTTTGTTTTCAAAAGTGCTGCATGATCTTTTTTTTACAGGCATTTTTATATATTTTTCATCAAATCATAAATCTAAAAAAATACTGAAAATTCTAGCTTGGGCTACTCAAACCTTCACAAGAAACCAGCACACTCAAGGTTCGGCCACAACTCCTCAAAATCGCTCGTCAAATTGCGCTGTGAACCCAACGCAAGAAGCGACGCCAAATTTGATCAACGGCAAACCACTGTATGATGTTTACTTGGGAGGCAGTTTATCTACGGGTACCACATGGCGGGAAGACGTTGCTGTACCTTTGTTGAAAGAAAATGGGTTGCAGTATTACAATCCAACAATTAGGTAGGTAATAACTTTATGTTTTATGACAATAAAAAAAAATGTCTACTTAATGGTTGAGTGTGATTAATTTAAAATATTTCCATTTATGCAGGGATCAAAGGGATTCGATAGCTCGAGAAAACAGTCAAGACGATGTCTCTAGATGGCGGGACGAGATTGGCCAGTGTAAAACAGCCTTGTTTGTTATAACCAGTGATAGGAGGTGTCTAACAAGCATGATATTGGCTGCGTATTTTATCGGTATTGGCAAAGATGTGGTCCTCAGCATAGAGCAATTAGATGGAGATAGCTGTGTTGTTGCTGATGAAACGGTAAGAATTGATTGGATTTCCACTAAAACATCAAAAGATAAATCATCCACATAACATTCTGCACTTTTCAAACGATGCAAAAAAAAAAATGAGTCTTCTTTTCAAGTCTCTGAAAAAATTATTATTTTCCCTATTGTTCCAATACTTTCTTGTCAAGCTGAACAATCTCATAATTGATGAAGTCGACTAGTTGGAAATAAACCACCTTCTCCATTAACTTTTGTATAGTTGCCAAAGTATTTTTTGGGCGAAGATCAGCCTGAACCGAATCTATATTTTTTGTACAGTAATAACAGTAGGTATAGGCTCTCATTGAACTTAGAATCGAATCGAGATTGAAAAACTTACTGAAATTAATTTGCTTCTGAAGACAAAGAACAGAGGCTTTTGTAAAGAACATTCACTACACTACCACCCATTATTTCCCTATTTGTTCTTAATGCTGTTAATGTAATGTAAACAGTATTAAAAGCCGTGGAGTGGAATGCTGTCAATTGGTGAAGCATCGGTGGAGGAAACATGGGTGTCAGTGACGCTGGGTGACTTGGTCTTCTGTATTGGCTGTGTCTACATTCCACCTCTACCATGAATGTTTCGTATTATAAAAACCACTTAAAATCAGTTGCAAGTGCCTGTGAAATGTTTGATAATGTGCTTGTTCTTGGAGATTATAATCTTTCTCAAATAACGTGCTCCAATAGTGAGGATCTGTCTAGTTTATTATCTGGAAATGTAGGTCAACTAAGGAAATATTGTTATGTGATGGTACGGTACTGCCTCTCTTAATCTGTCTCAATACAATGGGGTGACCAACGATCATGGTGCAATCCTGGATTTATGCTTTGTCAACTTTGAGCTTGTTTCAATCGTAATATCTGACGGTCTGGTGGGCTGTGATCGTTATCACCCAGCTCTACACCATTTAAACCTCAATTTCGGAAAAAGTAACTTTTATTTAGGAAAATGTAAAGTCATTTTCGGAAAAAGTCAAATCAATTTCAGAAAAAGTAAATTTAATTTCGGAAAAAGTAAATTCAAATTCGGAAAAAGTAAATTCAAATTCGGAAAAAGTACATTCAATTACGGAGAAAGTAATGTTATTTTTAAGAATAATTCGAATTGATAAAAAGTAAATTTAGCAGTGACTACAGTGACTACATTATAAACCTCCAGTCGAACCCGTACCCTGACGGGTTCGATTTCAATCATTGTACTTTAACTTGGTTCTATGTAGAGTTTTCCATACCTGTTGATAAAGCTAAATTTCTGGAGCCTCCTAATTATTTCCCCTTTGACTTTAAAAATGCCAATTACGATGTAATTAATGAATATTTTGTTTTCTTTGATTGGCGATCCATTATGACTGAGGATCTAAACGAAACTGTTAATAACTTTTACTCGGTGCTGTTCGACTGATTTAATATGTTTATTCCCACAAAGAGACATTGTTACCGCGATAAATATCCTATCTGGTTCTCTTAGGAATTAAAAAACGTAATTTTTCAAAAGAAAATTGCTCACAAACAATACAAGCACTCGAATAGTGGAGTGGATTATTTTGTGTTTAATATACTTCGGAGGGATTGTAAAAACCTCACCCAAGGAGTGCTACAAATTATACATAAGTGATACTGAAAGGGCCATAGGCACTAATGTGAAAGTTTTCTGGAACTTTGTTCATTCTCAATCTAATCAGGGTACTATTCCTAAGAAAATGTTTCTGGCGACAGAAATAGCGTCCAACGGTGTTGACGTAGCTAATCTTTTTGGTGTTTATTTTTCCTCTGTTTATAACTCCCAGAGAAATTCCAACGCCAGAACTTTTTTGATCAATTTAAGAATGTTTCAAGCATTATCATAGACCCAAACCGATATTGAGAGGCCTTTAAAGCAAGTGGACATCAACAAGTCTGCAGGATCTGATGAGATTCCTTACAAAGTACTAAAATCTTGTCCTAACACTTTGTTAGTCCCTCTATTTATTATTTTTAACAAATCCTTAAACTCTGGAATTTTTCCAGAAATGTGAAAGCTCTCTTATGTTTGTCCTATTCACAAATCAGGCAGCAAGAATGATGTAACAAACTACAGATCTATCAGAATCCTGTCTGCGACTCCTAAATTATTTGAGCAGTGCTTTGAAAATATTTCGTCAGATTATGATCAGTCAACAGCATGGGTTTACAGCCAGTAGATCTGTTGATACGAACCTGTTTCTGTCTACAAATTTTATAAATTCATCATTTGATAACAATGTAGAAACTCATGCAATATATACTGACTTCAGTAAAACCTTTGATAAGGTAAAGGCTCTCACTTGGGCTCCCTTCTATTCACCTTATTTATCAATGAGTTAGGATCGTTGCTCTCTTCGAATTTTTTACTCTTCGCTGATGACTTAAAGTTGTATCGTCAGGTAACGTCAACTCAAGACATACTTATTCTGCAAAACGATTTCAACATAATAACACAAATGATGTGGTACAAGATTCAGTAGACTCACCTGTAAGGTTCCCTTTAAGGATTGCTTAGGTGATGTTCGCTTGTCTGAAGTTTGTATCATTGAAGATCTTGGTGTCTATCTAGATACTAGGTTAATGTTTACTAAACATTTTGAAGTGGTAATTGGCAGGGCTAATAGAATGTTAAGTTTTATTAAGAGAGCTACCTACTAGGGACAAGTATACACCCCATCAAGATTCTTTACACATCACTGGTCAGATCCATTCTTGAGTCTTTTTGCATAGTCTGGTCACCTAACTATCGGATCCACATCAATAGACTTGAGAGTGTTCAATACAAATTTATCAGTTTGCTAGGTACAAACTGTCTGAGTGGTGTGATTCTCAGCGTTGGCCAGACTATGACTTACTTAGACTTAACTACTCTTGTTCGCAGAAGGGAATATTTAATACTTTGATGTCTGTTTTGCTTTTAATATCCTTAACTCCTACATAAAAAGCCACGAATGTCTTGGATGCTTTTATCTACACGCTCAAAGTTTTCGGACACGAAGTAAATCTTTACTGCACATTCCTTACCGTCGTACTTGGTACTTACTATTCAGTCCTGTTAATATCTCCCAATGTAAATAAGTTCTATGAGGGTCTTGACGCGGTCCAAGCGAATTTTTTGAGGTTAGATTTTTACATTATTCTAGATTTAAACTTTGTACCACTTCAAATGCATGTATTTTTTTCATGCGTTAATAAATAAATAAATAAATAAATCAATGTTTATCTTATCTGAAATCGATCCTTTTTTCCTGAGTCTGACCCAAAGTACTCCACATTCTGACCGGTTCATTTTTGCATCAATCAATCAATCCCCTTTTTTCCATAATGACATCGACGTAAATTTTGCCTCACGACTTTTCAATCAGATCTTCACGTAATTAGGCTTGAATTAGGGCCAATTAAATCTTCTACAAATCTCTAATTTAAGGTTTCAATGTAGCTTTGATAGTTTCATAGCTGCACAACAAAAATCTTTGAACTTTGATTTTTTTCAAGTTGAGTGGGCAGAATTTATTTTTTTTTCTACAAACGTCACTAAAAGTGTCATTTTTAACGGATGCTGTCAATTTCTAAAATGCCATTTTATGACACTGGTGTTAAAAGTGATTATTTTTAGCACTGAGTGCTAAAAGTAATCACTTTTAGTGCGTTTGTAGAAAAAATAGTGTATGATATTCATGCTAAAAGTGATTTTATTTTGTTCAAAGGGATGGAACACTCCGCATTCGGCATCGTGTCCCAAACTTCCCTTTTCACAAAATAAAATGTCACTTTTAGCACTTATATCATAAATAATTATTTTTTCCTAAATGTCAATATTTTCTCTATCCTTTTTCTCATTTCTTCATTCTCATGTATTACATATTGTTATTTCAGGTTCTCGAATTTTCATTATGTTTTTCTTTCCTAATTGAGAAAGTAAAGGGAGTGACCTAGAATAAAACATCAAGAAAATCCGAAAGAAAACCCATAAATTTGGAATAAAAACCAAAATAATGAAAATTCAAGTGTCTGGAATAGACAGAACTTGAGACAAAAAAATGAAAAATATGGCGGAAAATGTTTTTAAAAATTTGAGGAAAGAATGTATATTACACCGTTTTACACCTTGACTCAAAGGGTCGTTAATAAGATGTTGTACATTATGTGCACTTGGGACTAGAAGACATTTGATGAGAAAAAAATATATTTGTCAGGATTTTTTTCGAAAAACAGAAAGAAGAAAATTATGTATTTCTATTCCAGATTCTAAACACCCACGACTTACGGTGGTGGATAACATGTGACACATTACATGTGCGGTAAAAAACACATACCTATCTCCTTGTGTAATGTACAAAATAGTATCTTCTTCTTCTTAAAATTCCATACAGATTCCTGCGTAGGCGTCCATCGTTTTTTGTATCAAAATTTGCTATTAAAGACAGCGGTTTGTAGTGTCTGGAAGTCCTGTATTCCTGTCCACTGCCATATATTCTCTAGCCAGGCAGGATAGTTTCTGTCTTCTTATACTCCCTTCCTCCTTCAATTTTGCCTTGAAGGATAAGGCGCTTAAAGCTAACGTTCTCCGCGTATTATGTGTCCCAGATAAGATTTTTTTCTTTTTAGCAGTTAAGCCCTCTGGATAACCTCTTCATTTGTGATGTTTCTATTTTGTTTAATATGATGGTTACCTTCAGTGTTCATGTCTCTACTCCTTATAGCAGGACCGACCAGACATAACATTTTAGATCAAGATTCTAAAATTTTAGAAGTCTCGGGAAGGTTGATCTTGCCTGTTGTATCCCGCATCTTATACCTTTCTCCAGATCCAAATATTTGAAATCTGTAACCTGTTCAACAATATTTTTTCCATCTTTATCTATATGGGAATTCAAGATGGGTGGTATGAATAAAAACGAAGTACTTGATACTACTCAAGTATTAGTATGTTCTACGTAGTATTTACTTCAAAATGAAGTAGATACTACATTTCGAAACTACCGAAAATTAGTATCTACTTCGTTTTGAAGTAAATACTACGTAGAACATACTAATACTTGTAGTAGTAGCAAGTACTTCGTTTTTATTCATACCTCCCATGTTGTCTGTACTCACAATCATCAACTTCGTTTTGACAGGGTTAAGTTTCAAGTCTAGTCCCTCGCCTGCTCCATTAATCTGATTCAGTAATGTCTGAAGATCTTTTGCATTGTCTGCTATTATTGCGGTGTCGTCTGCATATCTGATATTTTTGATAGGGATTCCCTTCACTCTAATGCCTATGGGCCTATCCAAAAGTAGTTCAGAGGCTCTTTCTGCATATAGATTGAACAGCATTGGAGACAAGATACATCCGTGTCTGACCCTTTTTCTATTTCAAATTTGATCTGTTGTTGTTGAGTTGTCTAACCGAACATCTGCTTTTTTATTCCAATAAGTCATATGTCCTTATCATCCAGTCCTAATTCCCCAAGACATGATATCAAGAGATTATGTCTAACATTGTCAAATGATTTTTTGTAGTCAATAAAGCATGTAAAGGTAAAGGCATACTTTCTTTGATATTGACAATTTTCCACTTATCTGCAAACTGAATATAGCTTCTCTGGTTCCAAAACCGCTCTTAAACATAAACTGACTAAACTGGCACTTATTGTAGAGTCCTATGTATAGAATTCAAAGAAAGAGCTTCAGAAAATGGCTCATAGGACTAATTAGATGATAATCCTTATATGCTTTTGGGTTATTTAATTTTGGTAGTATAATAAAAGTAGAGTGGACCCAGTCCTCGGGAAAATATCCAGTGTCATATATGTTGTTAAAGAGCTGCACTATGGTTTTTATCTTTTTGTTCGTTGAATAAGTGATACATCTCTGAATACATGTCATCCGGTCCCGGAGCCTTGTTGGTTTTCATTTGTCTCATGGCATATAAGATTTCCCTTTCTAATATTTTTAGTCTCGATAGCTGAGTATCTTTCACTTTGACTTGTAGACTGTCTGGTCAGTTATTATCAAAAAGGTTGGTCGTATATCTCTTGCACGTTTCCAATAGTTCTTCGGGTTCTGTGATTATCTCGTTGTACTCATTTCTATTAAAATTTATTGGCTTTTTGTTGTATAGTCCAGCTATTTCTTTTACTTTCCTATGCAGCCTATGTGCATCTTTCAGTTAGCCATTTCTCTTCTGCAATTCTGATTTCATGGCGGATTTTTCTCTGTTTGTTTTTGTATGTCTTGATCATTCAGACTTTTAAACTTTCTCCTCTCTTCCATTAGTTTCAGAATTTCCTCGGTCATCCATTGGTTCTTTGTTCTTGTTTTATTCTTTTGGAGGATGTTATTATTTGCGTTTCCAAAAGATTTTCTGATGTCGAGCCAGTGTTTATTTGTGTGATTTTTAGCGATAACACCTGCTAGTTCCCCATTTTACTGGTCTTCGTACATCAGTACGAAGTTTTGTTTGTTTGTTTTTTTAGTAATTTCGGGTCGATTATCTTTTCAATAATATGCCTTTAGGGTTTGAACAAGTCGCAGTTTGATGTTGGCGTATAGTGGATTGTGATCTGTTTCAATATCGGCTCCTGGCGTTGTGGTAATCTTGGTTATGAGGTTCCTAATCTTTTGTTTATTGTGATGTAGCTTATTTGGTTACAGACGATACGCTGATGCTGATCATTATGTTGTGGGGATGTCCATGTATAAAGCCATCTAAGTCGTACTTTATACCAATGTGTTCGTTATTATGAGATCTTCCTCTTCACAATATTGAATTAATCTCTGCCCTCTATCATTTCTCTCACCAAGACCGTGTAGTCTATTTGGTTACAGACGATATGCTGATCATTTTGTTGTGGGGATGTCCATGTATAAAGCCATCTAGGTCATACTTTATACCAATGTCTTCGTTATTATGATATCTTTCTCTTCATAATATTGAATTAATCTCTGCCCTCTACCCTCTATCATTTCTCTCACCAAGACCGTAGTCTCCTACTGCAGGTTCTATTCTTCCTCTGCCAACCTTAGAAATAAAATCCTTCAATATCAAGTTTATTTCATTGAGCTTTGCAGCTTGGTCACCTTGTTTGTAGAAGTCTTCCATTTCTTCAACATTTTAAATACAAAAATAAAATGATAATAATATAGATAATCCTAGTTTTTGTAGTAAATCGAGATCCTAGTTTTTGTAGTAAATCGGTTGTAGATGCAATCCAATATTTAACACAAGTGATGCGGTATCACAACACTATTTCCTCATTTTTATTATCCCAATAACTGACCCAAATCAAAGTTAGCATACGAATGTCCAGAATGGAAATACATTTCTTCACATAGGAACCATGGTACATTCATCTTTTGACTTAAATCCACATCATTTTCAACAACCACCTATTCATCACCTCATCATATTATGTATATTAGCTAAAATCGTCAACCACCTTAATGTTGTTATTTTCCAATTATTATTCAACTATGTTCCTTTTTTTTTTCCAGTTAACAAAAATCGCAATCAAAGACTACAACCGTGCACGTGCCTACCTCAAAGATCTAGCGGAGCGCCGTCAAGTGGCGGTTTTCGAAAACGTAACCCAGGCTGTGGAGCACATAGTTTCAAAAACTAGAGTTGTAGATAAAAACAGCACTCGGACTGAATTGAACAGATAGTGAGGTTGATCTCTTTGTATTTCGAAGTATTTTGGTTGAGAAATTTGCAAGATGGCAGCTATAATAAGCTCTCTTTGATGAGGTTTTTTTGATAGCAGTTTAATACGCTTCTAAATAATAAATAATACGAAGAGATTGTTCTCTTCTTATATAATATTTTTGATCGTGATTATTTATTTAAACGTATGTAAAGTGTTTTAACCGTTTTTTTCTTAACTTTTCTGTTGTTAGTTGTTATCTAATTTATATAGAGGTATTTTTTTTCATCAGTGTTTTGCGGGTTTATTTGAATACATGGACAGCGTAAATGCGATTATTTAACCCAAGAGATCGTGCCTTTTTAGGTTTTAAGTTTTAAGTTTCTTTTTTTACTTTTTAACTATTTAACATTTGAAAATTTTAATAAACAATAATCAATTTCGTCGATAAACGCTTTTTTAAAAACATCACAAGCTTTTGTAATGTTTCGAGCGAAAAATAATAATTTTATCATTGGAAAGACATGATCTTTTGCGCGTTGTTAATTTAAGGAATTCAATGTAACCGGTTGGTAGTGGAATGAAACATAATATCTTGAAAATTTAAGTGTATTTTTTTTACATTACATATTACACTTCCAACTTATTTCACACTGGCTTAAAGCCCCGGCAACTCCATTACAAAATAGTTTATATTATACATATTATTTACTAATAATTAATATTTTTTTTTGTAAATAAATTAATTTGTTGTTTTGTAAACCTAGTTCTTTATTAAAAAAAAATTATAAAATTAGTCCGTCACATTTACACTATATACATATTACATTTATCAGATAGTTTATATGTTTATCGATCATGTTGGTTTTTTTCTTCTTTGTACCTTTGTATTTTTTTTTATATACATTATATTTGAATTTGTGTGGTTTTGTCAAAAATTCCATTAAGGAAGTTAAACTGTTCCATGTCCATCATAATGTAAATGTAACTTGTCTCAAGATCTAATAGTTTCGAAGATTCTGATTACAGATTGAGTGTGTTTTTTTTTCTTTAATAATTATGTCATATTTGTATAGGAATATTTGGCAAAACTACAAAGCTGGTATTTCCAGTCTGATCAAGGCAGCCATTAAAAAAAAAATAAGTTCCTTTAAACATAAGGTCTGTTACTTAAAAATAGTTATGTATGCAACAAGTGTGTAAAGTGAACCTTTTTTCACGAATGTGAATTTTGACGCACGAGCCGAAGGCGAGTGCGACAATAACATGAGTGAAAAAAGGTGCTTTACACACGTATTGCATACAAAATTTTTTCTACTACCAATCAAATATGTATGAAACGATAAATTTAGACAAATACTTTAAGCACTAGTGCGTAAAGAATTTTCACTTTACGCACTAGTGCGTGAAGTAATTTACCAGAAAAATTCCAAATTGACAATGTGACATCCGAGGTGACATCTGTCATTGACATTACTTTACGCACTAGTGTGTGAAGTCAGTTACTTTACGCACTAGTGCGTGAAGTGAAATTTTACGTCTTCTCAATAGCGCATAAAGTGAGTACCTACTTTACGCACAGTAGTAGAAAAATGTATTTTCCTGTTGTTCCCGAAATGATTTTTTTTGTCGTTTTTTTTTTGAAAATTCTATCAAACTAAGGTACAATTACCTAAAATCTAAATACGTAATTCATATTAATGTACTAAGTAAATAAAAACATCACATGATTTTTTCTTCACATTTTTCTGATGTTTTCTGCAAACGAGTAAATTAATCACAGATACGTTATCAATAAACAATAGTTTGTTTTTTCTTTCTAATTAAAGTACTTAAAAAATTGAGAAATGTCTCAAAATTGCATTAAAATTTGATTGAAAGAAACGAGATTGGTTTTGCATCGCATATATTTATAATTAATATGTTGGCCTATCATCAAATATTAAAAACTTTGCCTCTATATGAGATTCTACAGGCATTATTTAGTATTTGATTTGATTGGAGCTATTTCATTTATTAGTTATTAGTTGTTTTTTTGGGTGGGTAATTTTGATGCATTTTATCAAAAATGCGTCCACGTTAGTTTTTTCTTTTCTGTGTGGTTACGATCGTACTTTTTTTCCTATAAAATTTGCTCAGTTTTATTGAAACTGAATCAAGTTTTTATCTGAGTGTTGAGGTAGTAGGAGGCTCGGTGGTTCGCGTTTTGTCTGCAATGTTTGTTTATATATTTTTCGCTACTATTTATTATCTTATATTTTTTACAATTAATAAATTTATTATTATACATGTATTTGTACATCATTTTTTTATTACGATTGCTAGGAATAATGTAAGTCTGTTTTTATTAAATTGTGACCAAGGCCTGATTTTTTTTACGCTGCCAATTTTATGGAAAAAAAAACTGAATATTATTGCAAAACTTTAGAGTCATTTAAAGGTTGACATCTTCATCAACTAGTAAAAGTTCGGTTAACTTTATTCCTTAGTTAACTAAATAGTAGTAAGACTTTGGAATTCCAAAATCTACTACTTTTTAGTTACCTGATCAATCAAATTTTTTCCATGAATAAAAATTGTCAATAGTATTCGGTTTAATCAAATATACAGAATAAATTATGTCGCAGGCTAATTCATAGATCTAAACAGAACAAAAAGCACAAAAGTTGGTACTCCTGGTGTCTGGAAAATGTAGCTCAATTAATCGCAAACTTCTGCATTTATTGTTCTGTTTGTTTTATTGATGTTTCATCCTTTTTATTCACAATATAAACGATTTGGTGTAACTGCCACAATTTTTGGGTTTCGAAGTAAGAAATAAGAGCGTTATCACTAATTTGGCTTGATTTTGAAGAGTTATGTACCTGAATCAATATGTTGGAAGTCGGTTAGCTAATATTTAACTTATACATTATTAATTTAGTTAATACATAATATTATTATAATGTAAGCCTATATAAAGAGAGCAACATTTTTAACAAGAATCTCTTGTACCTAATTATTATTACTAATATGGTTTTTTTAAAATAAATATTGTCCAAAGTAATATTAATAAAGATGTGTTTAAGAATATAAATTAATTGGCAGTAAAGTAAATCAAACTAATCAATAAAATGATACATTTGTGTATTATAAATGTACATTATTTTTTAAATAACGAAGTTATTATACTTTAGGCTTAAATTTTATTGTATTTTTTTTAGCACTTACATTATTATCGTCGTATGTATTTATTTCCTTTTTTTAATGTACAATTAAAAATTACTAAAAAAAAAGGATTGTGTGTATTATTTTTTTGCCGATACTTAAAATATACCAGACCTCAAACCCATAAAGGAGCAACTTAATATCGTTAAGTACTTAATAAGGAAGAAGTAAGTATAGTATTTAACTGATTTGAAGCTGAGGAAATTAGGAAGAATTTTATAGTACAAAAATTCTCATTCAGATACAGAACAGATACCGATTTTTTTCTAAAAATCGGTAAATTGAATCTCGCCTTTTTTTTTATGAATATCTTGTAATTTCTTATACTTTATTTTGAAAATAAAAGACCTTTATTATTATTATTATTTTTATTATTATTATTCAATTAACTTCAAAACTATGGATTTAAAGATGACTGTTGTGGTGTCCATCCTGAAATCTGTAAGTCTGGTTCGATGATCGACATGCATACACAAAATAAAAGAATCCAACAAATTAGACAATAGCGACTGTTTATATCTATTGTCCCAGTCAAAAAAATTATATTCAAATCACCAGACCAAATTATGTTAGTGTTAAGTGAAATTTCAGTCAAACTGGATTCCAGTAAGTATGATTGAATATTCCCAGAAGAAGATCTATAAATCCCAATACATTCAAGTTAAAACAACTACAATACACAACAGAAACTTCAAAAACTTTCTCCTCCAGAAATCGCCTGCTTAATTTACACATAGCAGGAACATTGGAAGCACCAACGTTAAGTTGTAGATAGATGGGTTAGTGCTTCGTTAGTGCCTCAATGTACTTCGATCTGCAAATTAGCAACCCTATATTTCCAGAGATATTTCAGTTTTTATAAATTACCTGCTTACTTCACACCCCGCAGGAACAAGGAAAGCACCAACGTTCAATTACAGATAAATGGTTAATGCTTCAATTCTTAAATAAGCAACCTCTATAATTTCAGAGATATTTCCGTTTTTCAGAAATCGCCTGCTTACTTCACACCCAGCAGGAACATGGGAAGCACCAACGTTCAGTTCTATATGAATGATTAATGCTTCGTTAGTGCTTCATGATGCACCACCTGCTTTTAATAGCTGTCATACTTCTATTCCCAAGATATTTCGACTTTTTGCAATCGCCTGCGGATTTCACCCTGCTAAGGGCCGTCAACCGAGAATATGGACACCATAAACTCTGATTTGAATTACTCATAAATATGATTAATAGGTAGGTACTAATTGGTTTCTAATGCTTAGGCCGGTTTACTCATCTTCTGATAAACATACTGGTAACTATATCTACAAGACAAATTTACCAATCGATAATCCTATTGGTCGACGTATAACTGGTCGACCAATACGATTATAGATTGCGTTTTTTATCCGTCAGATAATATACCTGATGGTTTATCAGTAGGTATGTGAATAGTGTGTGTGAGGTTTACTAGTCCTCCATCGGTCGCCTCCCCAGGTGGCGGATAGGAGAATGCCTCTCAGATATGAGTGGTACCGGGGAAATTAAATACCCGGGGCGGACCAAACTAGCACTGCAGCGTCTGCCTCAGAGTGAGCGGCTGAAAACAGCGTCTGTCCCAGAATGGGCGGCTGAATCAAAACTCACCAACCCGCCTGGCAAGCGTGGTATTTTACTTGCCATTACCCCCCTTTACATACCATGGCGAGGGAAATTTCCCGACTCCCACACCTCTATGGTCTGCCTCACGGAATCTGGGGGAGGCAAAAATTCTGATCAACTGATCAACCTAACAATAGGAACGTACAATATAAGATCAATGAACACTGACGAAAAGATACATGAACTAGAGGAAGAGCTGACAAGAATAAAGTGGGACATAGTAGGCTTGTCAGAAACTCGAAGAAAAACTGAAAATCGAATAAAATTGAACTCCGGTAACCTGCTATACTACAAGGTAATGAAAACAACAGTAACTTTGGAGTAGGATTTATTATAAATAAGCGAAAAGTAAACACGTCCAAACTATCAAGGGAGTCTCAGATCGGGTTGCTTATCTCGTACTTAAAATGAAAAGAACAACTCTTAAAATTATTCAAGTGTACGCCCCCACTTCAACATACGACGACGAGAGCATCGAAATATTCTATGAAGATATCTCAAAGGCTATGGAAGAACATAAAACTCGCCTTACTCTATAGTAATTGGAGATTTCAATGCCAAACTTGGTAAGAAGCTGAATAAAGAAGACTAAAATAGGGGACTTTGGGTACAGTGAGAGGAACGATAGGGGAACTACCTTGAGAAACTATCTAGAAGAAAAACATCTTTATGCGATGAACTCGTTCTATAAGAAGAAACCGCAAAGAAAGTGGACATGGCTCAGCCCTAACGGAACAACGAGAAATGAAATTGACTACATACTGACCACTGAAAAATATATTATTAAAGATATGTAACAGTCCTGAACAAATTCACCACAGGCAGCGATCACAGAATGGTCAGAGCAAAAATATGTATCGATGACAACTTTGAAATAAAAAGAAAAACTAATGGAAACAAGGGACAATTAGACATGACCTCATGACCAACAGTAGCGTGTCAAATTTTTTGGGGGCCCCCCCCCCGCGAACTTTTTTTTGAGGCCCCCTATGTCACTATTATATTTTCCAAAAATAACCCATTATAGTAAATATTTATACACAATATGATTATCTAATAGTTAAAAAACACAGCGAATTTTTGAAACTAAATTTATTTCTATAAATTATTATATGTTATTATCGGGGTTATTATAATATAGGAGCTAGGGATGATTGAAAACTTCTAAAAAAAATGTTCTTCTAATACAAGGAAAACATACAACAAATATTTAACTGATAAGTACAAAGATATGGAATTAAATATGCATTATTTTAAAAACTACTTATAAAATATCCTAACGTTTGTACCTTAACGAAAGGAACTTGTCAACTATTTTGTCTAAATCTACATCTTTCGCTCGTTCATTTTCTACTGAGATGAGGGCCAATGAGCTAAGGCGATTTTGTACCATACTAGATCTCGTAAAGCTTTTTATTAGTTTCAATTTTGAAAAAGTCCTTTCTGGTTGAGCCGATGTAACGGGAAGTATTAGCCAGGGTTGACAATTGTTTGGGCGTTCACATTTTTTATGTTCGAAAGAAATGGTGACAAATTAAATATGGATTTGAAATGTTTAAATGTGCATATTTGTATTTTTGGAGTTTGCTTGATATACATAGGTATTACTCTTTCTTAGAGTATATTGGGGGCCCGGGGGCCCCCAATATACCGTTGGCCCCCCCGCGTGGCGGGGTCTGCGGGGCCGTTTGACACGCGCCTGATGACCAAACTTGCACAAAATAAAACCATATATACAAAGAGAGACTGAAGGAACAACTGACCCAGAACTTGAACAGCGATAATGAAAATATAGATAAAATATACAATAGGTACATTAGCGGAAACCATGGTTAGGGTAGGAAACGAAATCGCACAAAAAGATAAAAAGAAGGTAGATTGCATACCAGAAGAGACAAAGAAACTCATGGAAAGAAGGCGGAAACTGAACGAAGAAGGGAAAAGAAAATCGATAGAATACATAGAAATCAATAAGACCATCAGGAAAATGATAAAAGAAAACAAAAGAAAGAACCAAGAAATAGAAATAGAAAGAGTCATAGAGAATAACAGGAATATGAAATGCCTAAGACCAACACTAGGAAGATACGAAATAAATAAAATAAAAGACAGGAACGGCGTAGAAACTAATATTAAGGAGGATATCATAAATATCACACAACTGTTTTATACAGAACTATATATATATCAAACAAAAAGGGAACCACCGCAAGAAACCGTAAAACAACTACAAACTAAAATAAAGAATGTAAATTCAGAACTACAACCCGAAATAAGCAAATCGGAAATAAAGAGGGCTCTGAAAGAAATGAAAAACAGCAAAGCACCTGGAAAAGACGGAGTCACGGCAGAAATGCTAAAATATGGTGGAAAAACGGTCATCAATACTCTCCATACCGATACCCTCCTAAATAAAATACTGAAAGAAAAGAAAATCCCAAACAACTGGAATGAATCCATTACAATCATCCTTCATAAGAAAGGTGATAGAACAGACTTGAAAAACTATCGACCTATAACACTCCTTAATGTAATTTATAAGCTCTTCACAAAAATTCTCACCACCAGGCTAACAATAAAATTCGATGGTTACCAATCAAAAGAACAGGCCGGCTTCAGAAAGGGTTTCATTACAAGTGACCACCTATTAACCATGAAAACCCTATAATAGAACGAGCCAACGAATATCACATCCCACTATATAGGGTGACTGCGGTAAGTGGACGTATTCCTTTGAGGAGGTGAAAGTAGAGCCCATTTGCTACCGATTAAACATCATTTACCTCTATACCATTCTCAACGGTTTTTGAGATATTTTTTATTTTTATATTTAAGAAATTCACTTTTTTGGGAGGTGAATATTTAAAATTAACGAAATAATAAGGAACATAGGTACCTTATTTAGGTAAATGTTAACACCAATATTTGATAACATTTCTATTGTAACACTTGGTATTAAAAACAAATCGAGTAATTTTTTCTTCATATTGCGGTTACTCTTACAAATAAAACTTATTTATTTAATAATAAAACAAAAGACTAATTCTGAAATAATGTGCCTTATTCTGAAGACAATTATATCGAGAATTTCATACATCTGTCAAAACTGGTATTCCAACAATAAATTGACATGTTTTGATTGTTGATTTGAACCAATCAGATTGTAATTACGCGATAATTTGCACTAGTGCAAATTATCAGATAATTGCATACTAACTGGTGCGAAAACTGGTGTTTTGACATTTTTTGACAAAAAATTTAAATTTTTGATTTATGAAATTCTCTCATTAAATACAACTCGTGCAATGGAAATATATTTATAATTTTCGACAAATTTCCCAAAAATTATCAATAATTTCCATTGCACTAGTTATATTACTATTGAGAACTTTTATTAGTAATTTGTACGTTTGATGTACCATCG